ATTGCTTTATGTAGCTGCCATGAACCCCAGCGTGTGAGGCTGGGACACCTGCAGTGCCCCGTACCCTTACGCTCTCCTGTCGCAGGTTCACAGAGCTGGTGGATGGCAGAGGGAGGATCAGCGCCAGGTTTGGCACTGTGCTGGGAAAATCCATCACTGTGAAGACACGTAAGTGCTCCGTTGCTTTTCTGTCCTGATCCTGTCATCCAGTGCTATCTCCTGCACCTTCCCCCAGGGTGAAGTGGCTGCTGTAGGGCTGGGGGAGCCACAGAGGAGGGTGGAGCCCTCTCACCCAGCCCTGGGTAGGCAAACATCTGCCCTGCTTGCTAGACCCCTGCCAGGGAAGAGGGGTGACTCACAGCCAGGAGGGGAGCCCAGAGAGTGACCCTCACTGATGGGAGGCAATACTGACTGTGGCATGGCTGCCCAGGCAGTGGCCTAACAGCCCTCCAGCACAGCCCCTGCCTGCCCAGCAGCCTCAGTCCCCACTGCCAATAACAACCTTGCACCCGAGGAGGGCACCTGGGTGAGAAACCCCTCACTAGTCCAGCCTAACCCCCCATTTTCCATCCCCAGAAGACCAGGGACACAAGTGCCAGCCCAAGATACTCTAGCAGGCTGGGGAACCCCGCGCCATGGGGTGGGGAAGGAGCCTGGCACACCTGAGGGCAACCCTGGGCTTGCTGCGCATCCTGGCTCTGCCCCTGCCTCTGCAGGACTCTGTGTCCCACAGCCCTCCAGGAGGGGTGAGGGGATCACCCCAATTCTAGGGATGGCAACTGTGAAGAGCTAAAGCAGTGCCTCAGGCCTGGCCAGTGCCCCAGTACTGCAGGCAGGCTGGGTCCCCTTGGAGGGGCTGCCTTTGGGTCTGGCTTTGGCCTGGAGGTGACATTTGACCATCTTGTTGTCCAGAGCCAGAGGCTCCAGTGAAGCTGGAGAACACGGAGGTGTCCAGCCGGGACAGTCTGGCACTGCAGCTGCATGAGGCAAAGAGCAAGAGTAAGTTCCAGGGGAGACCCACAGCAGCAGGGACCCAGCCCTGGCCCCACAGGCAGGGTGCTCGGCACCAGCCTGCCTTCCTTGGGGGCATGGCGTGTGTCCCTGCCCACCATCTCTCCCTGGGAGCACCCTGGCGTGCTGGGGGCTTGTTAGGACTGTGCTGTGGCCCCAGGGTCTGACAGCCAGGCATGTTTTGCAGGAGAGGGGCGGAACTGCTCCACGAATCCCTGCAGGAATGGAGGCACCTGCACCAGAGATGCCGAGTCCTACCACTGTGCCTGTTACCCAGGGTTCAAGGGCCGGCTCTGCCAGTTGGGTGAGTGCCAGGCTGTGCCAGAGGACCAAGCTCCCTCCTGCAATGCCAGGCTGGTGGCTGTCCATCACGAGTTCCCCAGGACGTAGATCACCCAGCACACCCTGTCAGCACTCGCCACGCCCAGGCTCTACTAGAGATCAGTGTCGTGCTGGGAGAGGGGCTGGGCTCTGCTCTTGCCTCTCTGGGGAGATGTGAGAGTGCAGGTCTGCTCCCCACTCTTGGCTGAGCTCTCCACCTCTGTCTGGCAAGGCCAGGCCCCTGCCTTGCCCACAGAGTTGCCTAGGCACTGTGAGGCTGGGGGCTCCACTTCTCCTGGTGGGTCAGCTCTGTTGAGCCCAGCACTCGAGCACAGCCAAGGAGAAGCCAGATGGGCCTCACCGGCCCCTTGCCAAAGGGCACAGGCAGGCAGGGCCATGGATGGGCTCACTGATAGCTCCCCTCTCCTATTCCCCAAGCAGCCTGCAAGAAGGTGCCACACTCGTGCACACGGCTGTACTCGGAAACCAAGTCATTCCCAGTGTGGGAAGGAGGCACCTGCCACTACCTGTGAGTACTGCCTGCAGGTTGTGCTCCCCCCTTCCCCCTGTGCTCTGAGCTGGGGATGTCTCCCCATGGCTTGGCTTTGAGGAAGGGAGAGCAAGTGTGAGGCCGTCTCCAACCCCAGCTGGCAGCTGCCCCCTCCCCAGTGCAGGCTGAGCAGCCTGTCGTGCCCCTGTGGGTGCCTCCCAACTGCGTTTCAGGGCAGGGTGTTCCTGAAGTGAAAGCTCCGTACTGGTGTTATCACCCACATGGCAGCAAGGTTGGATTTGGTGTGCGTGACCCCCAAACAGCAGCAGATCCCACCCAGCTCCTGGCTGCCTCTCCATATAAAACCAGAGGGCTGGGGGAGCCCTGCTGCAATGTCAGGGCATGGAAGGCTCTGGTGTTGCCCCCGTCTCCTTGTGATGGAGGCAAAAAGGCCTGGCTGTGTGAGGATCAGCCCTCGTGCACGTCAGGCCTGAGCTCCATTCCTGGCAAGGTTGGCTACCGCAGCCTGGAAGGAAACAGGGAAGCACCCAGACTCCACCTCAGCACTCATAAAAGCACGTCTTGTCCCTGTTGTTCCCTACACATCACCCCTCCACTGTGTGTGCAGGTACAGGAGAGTCTACAAGGTACACCAGGACGTCTGCTACAAGGAGAGCTGTGAGAGCAGTGGTTCCGAGAGGACAACCAGCAGGTACAGCAGCAGCACACTGAGCGTGCCAGCCTTCCTGTGACCCTGGACAGGAGGATGCAGCTGGCAGGTGGCCCCCAGCATGCATGGGCACACTCAGGCTGGGGTGGACTGGGAGAGGGTGCAGGCATGACCAAGGCTCGGATGCCGGTGCTGTGAGCAATGTCTGAGGGGCGCAGGGCTGATGGTGCTCTCCTCCGTTCTCTTCCAGAAAACCAAGCAACAGTCACACACTGAAGAAGCCATAGAAGTAAGTACCTGCTCCAGCCCTCAGCCACAGGCAGGGGCAGTTCTTGTACAGGGAGTGGGGGAGGAGGAAGGGTGGAGGCCAGGGCACACCCCTAGCTCACACCTCCCATGTTTAGGAGGTGTGAGGGCTTTGTGGCTGAGGGCTCCTGGTTGTGTCTGGGATGGAGGAGCAGAAGGCAATGTTCTGCTTCCCCTTGGCTCTGCAGCTTCATGAACAAGAGATTCCTGCACAGGCTAAAGCTGGAGCCCTGGAGAGGGCAGGTCCCCTTCTCCCAGCCTGAGATGGGTGCACGGGGTGGGAAGAGGCAGCTGTGGGGCTTTGGGGGGATTCCGCACACCAGCTTAATTTTCCTCCTGCTCCTCCACAGGGTTTAAAGCAGTAGAAGCTTCATCTTTCCACATCTAAGGGCTTTCTGAACACCAGGAAGATCAGATCTGCTCACTGCGTTGAACACAGCAGGGGCACCTTCCTGCCTGGTGTTAGCCTCTCCCTCTCCTCCAGCCTGTTAGGCAGCCAGGTCAGCAGACCGGGCAGTGCTCCCTTCCCCCTGCCAGCCCAGCACTGCCTTTGCTGGTTTGTCTCCCTCTGGCCGCCTCTCTGCCCCTGAGGAGCTGAGCACCAGTGCCCCCGAGGGGGCCAGCCCTGCTCGGGCCCCCCAGCCACTCTGCACAAGTGACGGGCTCCCTGCTCCACTCAGGGATCAGCCCAGCAACTTGCCAACAGCATCTGCACCAACCTGTTTTCATAATCCAAGGTTATAAATTACCTATAACCCTCAAATAAAACAGTTTAATGCAGAGCAAAAAGCCGTAGCCATCAACTGAAACATGGCCCCCAAAAGTCTGCTCGGAGATGTTCCAACTTCTCTAGATGAGTTAAAAATGGTAAGCAGCTCCGAGCAGCGAGGCGAGCATGGACAGTAGAGGCACATTCCTGTTTCCTCTGCTCTAGTAGGGGCAACTGATGCAGCTTCTTCTGCCTGCCTTTTTTCTTTGCTTTGTAAACAATCCCTGGTTTTAACCAAACTTCCAGCTCAGAAACCAGTAGAGCACCTAGAAAGAATTTTAAAAGTGATCTCTAGGTGAAGTCTGTCAGCTGAGGCATGCCAGTGCCACCACACTTGTTGTAACTGCCCCCACACCAACGCAGGGCACAGCAGAGGCTTGGTGACAATGCCAGGCCCACATGCCATCCCCCTGTGCTACTTCCAGCGTTTGCCTTCCCTGTGGCACCAGCGCTGTGGAGTGTGTGGAGGAGAGAACCAGCACTGCGGCAGGGCAGGCAAAGAAAGAGTGTAGTTTAGAAACATTCCTAGTTTTTGTGAGTTTGTATGACAACACTAGTTAAACATAGATTTGTGTATTAATGTACACAGTGTATATTATAAATTAATACATACCAGAGATATATCGCAGTTATGGTATAGAGCATTATGTCCCCAGCAGCGTGGGGTTATCCCGGGGGAGGCCCTCCCCTCCCACCTAGCATCAGTGAACTCTGTAGCTCAGCCATATGTCTCAAGTGGCGGCCTGGAAGATGCTCTTGGAGCAGGACAGGCCTAGGAGTTTCAGTGCTCCTGCCACCACCCTCTTCCTGCCAGGAGCAGTGTAACAGTGCTCAGCCTGGAGGAACAGCTGCAGAGGCGGGTGGCAGAGACAAGGTAAAGCCTTGGCCCCCTGGCCAGCGTGATGCTGCCCTCCTCCACTGCCTCTAGCTCTCATCTCAGAGGAGAGACATGCCTCATTTTCCTCCAAGGCTATCTGGTCCTGCTCCAGCTACCTGGCAAGCACATCAGCACTACCTCCCCAGGGCAGGAGAGGAAGCCACCTGGGAGAGCAGGGCAAGGGGAAACCCAGACCAGCCTCTGTTCTCTGTGAGGGACAGGAGGGTTTGGGGCCATGGTCAGAAAGCTTTTGCATCCCTGCCCCGTCAGCCACGAGATCAGTGCTGACACTGGCTGTGGAGGTGAAGGCAGCCCTGCCGTGGGACAGTCCTGTTTCCACAGGGCCTGTGCCCCCAGCCCCAGGAAGCCTGGCCCTGCTGCCAGCTGGCATAGCAGCCCACTGCCTCCCACCCCACAGCTGGCAAAGTATGTAATACAGCCTTGGAAATAAAATTAGGGGGGTTTGTTTTGTTTTGTTTTTAAATAAAAACACTTTATGGAAGCTGGATTTTTTTTAAGTAGTTGGTCAGTGGTCAATGAGGAAGAATGAGTGGTGTTGTATTTGATAGACTGGATTTATTGGTGCCCCACACATGGGGCCCTGCAGCCACCATTGCTCTTGCTGATGCTGGGTGGGAGCCCAGAGCACCCATGGGTACGCAATGGGGTGGGGGAGTGCGCCAGCATGGGAGGGCTCGGGCACCTCAGAGCCTCACCTCCTCACTCCGGGGCTGTTTTACTTCTTTCACTGTCCAAATCATCATCTTCCTCTGCATATAGTGCATCCACTTCCTCCTCCTTCCCCTCTTCAGCCTCCTCCCGAGCCAGCAGCTTCTTGAAGACCTCATACTCCTCCAGGGTAGAGCAGGCCAGGCTGGCCAGAAAGTCTTTCTCCGAGAGCTGAAGGATGTCCTTCAGTTTTGGGTTATTGGTTTGTATCTGCCCTTTGTGTGGGGTCTCGTAGAGCCCTCGGCGCTCCAGGAAGATGTGCCGGTTTCGGAGCTCGGCAAAGGGCATTTGGAAGAGTCGAGCCTTCACCATCTCCTTCTGCCGGACTCCCATTCTGAAGTAAGCGTACTGCGGGCGGGACGGGCTGCGTCAGGCACAGTCCCATCCCCGCGGCAGGCTCCGGCAGGGAGAGGGATGCCGATCCTCACCTGGAAGTGGTGGTGGAGGCTGCACGGCTCCTCCAGCAGGACGGCGGGGCAGGTGCCCAGCACCTCCCGCAGCTGCTCCGCCGTGAAGAGGCAGCGCTCCCGCAGCAGCCGCACCGCCGCCGCCAGCCTCTTCCGGGGCACGGCGAAGAGCTGGGGGCAGCGGCTCAGCGCCCGCTCCAGCCGACCTGCAGGCACAGGGTCAGCGGGCCGGGCCCCGACCTGCAGGCACAGGGTCAGCGGGCCGGGCCGGGCCCCGACCTGCAGGCACAGGGTCAGCGGGCCGGGCCCCGACCTGCAGGCACAGGGTCAGCGGGCCGGGCCCCGACCTGCAGGCACAGGGTCACCGGGCCGGGCCGGGCCCCGGTGCGCCCCCCCGTCCTCCCCGCGCCGCCCTACCTCCGTCCAGCCCCAGGCGCCGCAGCTCCTCGGCGCGCTCCCGCAGCTGCTCCGTGGGCAGCCGCAGCAGCGCCGGGCTCTGCTCCAGCAGCGCCAGGGCGGCCTCGGCGCTCAGCCCCAGCAGCAGCAGCTGCGCCGCCACCGCCTCCCGCCGCTCGGGGCCGAGCCGGGGCTGCAGCCCCTGGAGCCGCCGGGCCTGCTCCTGGCTGAAGCCCATGGCCCGCAGCGCCGCCGCCTCCCCACAGCCGCGGCGGGGGCACGGCCGGAGGGCGGCGAGGAGCGCCCGCCCCGCCAGCACCGCCCGCCCGGCCCCGCGCGGCAGCGGCAGCGGCAGCGGCAGCCCCGCCATGGCCGCGGCCCGGCCCCGCGGGGAGCAGCGGGAAGGCCCCGCCGCGCTGCTCCGGCCCCGCCCTGTGAGCAGCGCCGGGGGACGGGGAGGAGCGCCAGGGTGGGAGCCGGGCCCGGCTTCCCCGGGCATGCAGGGCTGCCTCGCCGGGGCGGAACAGAGCCGTACCGCGGGCGGAGCGCCGTGCCCGCTGCCCATGGCCCGCAGGGGCGATGCCCGGGTCATCTTCCCCGCCCGGGCCGGAGCCGAAGCACAGCCCCAGCGCGGTGCTACAGAACACAGTGTACGGGAAGGCAGCTAGTTATGTGTTCGGATGGAGACAGTAGAGTCCAAAGCCGGACTCAGAGCTAATCTTTAGTAATTTACCTGGCTTTAAGCTGAGTCCTGTTGCTTCTCCGCAGAGCTGCTGTCAGACAGCAGCTGCAGCCAGGCAGAACTGCTGCCTCTCCCAGCCCTTCCTCCCAAGCAGCCTAACCCTGAGCTGCATCCCAAAATGTTCCTGTTACCTGTGTCTCAATCAAATTCTCTTCGTTGAATCTATTTTTTCTTTCCAACATCTCTGTCTCATCAAAATCAAGGACTACTTTCCTGGATATAGAGAGGACTCTGACATAAAAAAAAGACATCACCACCCCAGCCCCCCGCCCCCAAATCATGATTACATGTCTGTTTTTAAGGCTCCTTTGCACACACAAACTCCAGAAAACACCCAGAGGTATTACCACTACTTTATTCCTTCACTTTTTAGAAAGATACAAAAACTACGTATAAAAAGTAAAAGCAGACAATAAATATATATTCTGAGTTATGGACAATTTGAACAACATTAAAATCTTGGCCTCACAGCTTTGAAGCACGTCCTGGGTAAGAACACTAATAAACTGGGCACACATGGGTATCAGCAGGCAACTTTCGGTTGGGAACTACCCCACTAACACAGTTCAGACTTCAATAAATCATTGCTGGATGAAGAAGCCTTCAGGAGGTGGTCTCACCTGGCTCAGCAGAGATGTACACCTCTTCCCAGGTGTAATCAGCCAGGTTCACGGGTTGCCGCAGCCAAGGATCCTCGGCTAGCACAGCTAGAGTCGTGCGCTCCTCTGGAATGGGGTGCAGAAGCCCAGCCATGAGATCCATGAGACCTGGGCAGAGACAGCAGAGGGATGGCTCAGGTTGTATTTTAGGTAGGCTGGGAATGTGAGATATGGTTTATATTCCAAGATTGACAACTCGCCCAAACTCTGCTGCACTGAGCAGCTTTTAAAATCATCACAGAGCACACTGGGGAGCTTCTTTTCGGACTTCCCCTTTACTCGTGGTGAAAAAACACTGCTTATACTTTCCCACTCCTTTAAAAAGGCAAATGGAAAGAGCTCACCATCTGACACAGGGTGAGGAGGATTCAGGACAGCTGCCAGGGCCTCCTCCAGCTCACAGAAGGGATTCTCCCCAAGCACCAAGGTGTAAAGGGTGATGCCAAGCGACCACATCTCCAGCTCGGGGCCATGGTACCTGTGTAGAGATAAGCTTGCCTAAACTCAGATTGCAAGTATATACCTATCTGCAAAAGAAAGTAAAAAGAAAAAAGGAGGTTGGCAGCCCTTTCTCCCAATTTTTATTTTAACACAGGAAGTTCGTGAGAATTCTAAGCAGTTTCTCATGTGTTTGAGGAGTCTGCATTATCCTTCTCCAGGAAATAAAACCACCGCAGAATGGTCAACCAGTTTCTGTTGATGAGTGTGTGTAACATGTACCCAGACTTCCACACATGTAAGCTGGTGACAAGAGAACTTACCCCTACAACTTCTTCACCATAAGCCAAAACTATCAAGTAAATATTTAACTGGAAGAGCAAACAGGTCCCCCCAGCCCTTTCAAAACAAAATAATTCCATCTGAGAAAACATGACAGTTCCTTCACACAGTAACAGGGAGAACTCCCAGGGAAGAGCTGCTTGCTTCACCTTCCATCTCATTCCCCGTGGGAATTTCCTCTCCTCCTGGCATCGCTTCTTCCCCCCACTCTGTTATGAGGAGCTGCCGGAAGGACCGATGAAAACAGCAGTGAAGTGGGAGCAAGATACATAGAGGCACATCCAATTACTGCAGGTACCACCCTGGGATGGGGAGTCTTCCTTGTGGAGCAGGTACAGGACTGCCAGCTGCTAGGTACAGAGGACTTGGAGAGGGAAAGAAGGGGGAAGAGACAGCCAAGATTCAGGCAGCACATCCAAAACAGCAGCAAGAGAAGTTGCAAGGGAAGAATCCTCGAGTCCCAAGGAGCACAAAAATCAATGGGGAGATGACCAAGGATTAAACTGCAAAAATTCAAGTACAGGGAAGCACGTAGGAAAGGAGAGAACACACAAGATGAGAGTGTGAGAATACGAGGCACAGACACGCAAGGCAGGTGCTATTGACAGCAATACTTGATTACACCACCTCTCTAAAAGAGCAGCTTTTGGTGGAGAAAGCCTGACAACAGACTTAGAAACAACTTTGTACATATTCAAGCTTTTACAACTGATTTCTGTCACCACAGTGCCCTACTTTGTATGCACTCAAACTTTCACAAGCGATTTCTGTCACTGCAGTGCCTTGAATCTTGCTGCAGTTCCCTGTGGTTGGATACTCTAGCAGAGTTCCAACGGCACAGCAACTTGGCTTCTCTGTTCCAGCCCTGCACGCATGGGTTTTTGGTGTGATGGCACAAAAATAACTTTTCAGAGGGTTACATACGGTTTGCCAGACAGCACTTCTGGTGAGCAGTATTCAATTGTCCCACAGAAGGTATAAAACAATTTCCCAGGTTCCAGGTAGGCAGCTGAACCAAAGTCCACTAATTTAATTGTGAAATCTTCAGCAATGACAATGTTTTCATCCTTGATATCTCTGTGAAGGATGTTCCTACAGTGGAGATACCCAACAGCTGAGACAAGCTGAAAGAGGAGCAAAGACCTAGGTGTTACTACATAGAGGTGTCCTGGATAATCGATGTGGCATCGCAGTATTCCAAGAGTCACATTTTGGCTTGTTTTGACACCACCTAAACAAGATATACACCCTAATTATGGTAACTGGAAATGATCCCAGGTCCGCCTGTCAGCACTGCTGCAGCGGGTGCTGCAATGCTCTTGGGAGAGACAATTACAAAAGGCTTTGCTTGCTCTCCTCTCACAAATGTGCAGGAGGAGGGGATGCTGCAGTCATGATGTGATTGTTTTTTTTTTTTGGTGAGAAGCTTCAGAACTCACTGCTACAATCCTGCAGGTTACTCTATTTTTATCCCAGCTTCGTTTGGAGGGTCTTTTGGCTTCTCCAGAAGGATATTACTGTGAACCTCCCATACTGCAGGATGACAAAGCATTTAAGAGAACAGTTTGGTATAAATAATATAGTCGCTCCTAAATTCCATTCCTCTTCCTGCACAATTCATGCACTAGTGCCATAATTAAGGATAGCATCAGAATGATACCACCTTGGAGACATTCGTGATCCTTGCAATGCATTTAACAAGAAAAGCAGATGGCTGAGGGAGAAAAGTTTCTATTTATAATCCTCTGCAGAGAAATGCTGTACAGTTCTGAGAGAACAAGGCAGCCCTACAAACTGCAGGCTGGGTTAGGGAAAGGGCTGATCCCTCACAAGGCTAAGGGGACATCAACACTCCAGGTGAGGGTGGGCACAGCAGGGATGTGGGGGAGGTGAGCATGTGCATAACTATTCCTGCATACCACAGAGCATGGAATTTACTCCAAAACTCATGAGGGGGAGTTACTTGGGGACTGCTGCTGCGGTTAACTCGCTGAACAAAGGACAATTCAGCTCTCAATCACCTACTGGGCAAGCTCCTGACTCACAGGAAAACTACCCTGAGTTACTTTGCGTTATGCCACTCTAAAATCCAAGAGAACTTCTTGATTTAAAGAACAGAGCCCTTTACCCCTGTAACCAATCTAAAAAAAGCAGTGAACTAAGTGAAAATGTGGCTTTTTGTGGAGCTTGGGGCAGCTCCTGTGAGCTTTCTTCCTCCCTCAGGGAAAATGTGACTACTACATGAATGGCATCCTGGCGACAGGGGCTGTGTGCTGCCCCAGTCACAGCTGAGGGGCCATGGCTCTACTGGAAACCCTTACAGGCAGTAAGGTCCTGCAAAGGCTTCTCTGTTACAAGTTTCTAGGTAAACCTTAACGAGGGTTCTTCAGGCAGCATTTCAATCAGTCCTACAGACTAACGAGGAAAGGTTCTGCAGGTATTGAACAGGACTCCAATTCCGTACACCATTAGCCTGTATGAAGTGAAACAGGGCCCTGGTTCTTATATTAACCAAATCTTACCTGCATGTAGCATTTGTGTTCTCACCTGTCTGAATATATAACTCGCTAATGGCTCATCCAAGTTGGGCTGATTATCAATGAATGTGAAGAGATCCAGACCCGAGCCATGCTTCTCCATCACCAGCTGGAAAAAGCATTCATTTTCAAATACATCCAGCACCTATAAACAACAGACTGGTTTAATCATGTGCTTCATCCTCAAACAGCCTTTTTTTTTTTTTTTTTTTATAAAACACGGCTCTCTCCTCTTGGAGATTTAATTGATGTATATTATAATCTTCAAAGTCTCATTTCACTGAGCACAAACGTTTCTTGAAGAGATTACAGAGCTAAAACCAAGAGCAGAATTAAACCTAAGAGGAATTTGCTTTCTGAAGAAAAAAAAGCAACGCCAAAACCAAAACCAACAACCCCAAACCAAACAGGACGAAGCAAGATATGTATCCAGATTATTTATTGAAGTTGTACATGTTCAGATGTGACATCACACTTCTGAGATACGCGTATTATCGTCCTGAAATAGTGTACAGGCTTTTTTTCTGTTAAGAGTCACATCTTCAGATCAGTTTGGGGTAAAAGTGTCAAAGCAAATGAAAAGCACACTCCTAAACAAAGCAGGATAGATAGGTTCCTTTCTTTCCTGAAAAGGCAGATTCAGTGCAGGACACTTCACTCCTGAAGAGGAACAGGAGACACCAAGTATTCGAATGAACCACCTGATGCAAACTGCATTCACTCCAAGTCACTGTACCTTAATGATACTGGGGTGCTGCAGCTTCAGCAGGATTGCAATTTCTTGAGTGACTCTCCCCAGCTCAGGATCATCTACCCAGCAGTCCTCCAGCACCCTCTCCTTCCAGATGAACTTCACGACAACCTACACAGACAACAGCATTCAGCATCGCCTGCAAAAGCACCGCTTTGAGTGTCAGGTAAGTTAATCTCCAGGAACTCAGTCACTCATATTACTAGAAGGGTAGAAGCAACCCAATGTGAATAGCTACAATTTGTTTAAACATCTTTAAAGTAATTTAATCCTAGGAGCCAAATGATGCACATAAATGCACGTATTTATCGCTGTTCTGAATTCCAGAGGCTTTGACAGGCCAGCTGTCTTATCAACCAGTTACAGCAGCAGTGGCACAGGGGTACAATGGAGGGAAATGAGCACTTAACATCCATGCAGAGAAACGTGAGAGCTTGCTGATACTTCTGCTGATAAAGAAGAGGGTCCCATAACATAAACATCTCTACTGCACATCCTTGAGTCATGGCAGGATAAAGACTTTGAGGTTTGCCATTTTCTTTAGTAACAGAAGATTAAAACCTGTAATTCTGTTCAGCTTATGTTAACTTCTTTCAACAGGTTCAATTAGCTACATTCATCAGTTCATTAGCTACATTCATCAGTTCATTAGCTCATTCTGCACCTGTTGTCTCCCATTCATACATCAATGCAAATATTTTGCTGTCCTGTTTCCATGAGGTTTGCTTTCTCAGATTTCTGTTTAAACAAAGCAAAACCCCAAACAACCAAACAGAAGCTTTTAATAGTGCAGTGTTGACAGAACATGAACACTCTAACCTTTCAGTTTTCATCCTAAATAATTATTGCAGTAGAGCTAAAAGAAATACTTCACCTCCTGATGATCCTTCTTGCTCCTGGCAGTCCAGACAAAGCCAAAAGCGCCTTTGCCAATCAGACTGAGAGTGCTGTAATTTTTTGTGTATTCTCCCTCACATGCTCTTAATCCTCCGAGCTCTTCAGCTCTTCGGGAATTATTGAAAAGTGAAGTTGATCTGATGGCCTAGGTACATATACACAGGTTACAGTAGCAAGAAAACAAAATGAGCAAGCCACAGGATCACGTCTATAAAAGGAATAAATACTGAAAAGAACAGACACATCTGCAAGAATTGCTAAAAGGAGAAATCTTTGGTTATGATAGCGACAACCATCACCAGACAAGTTAAGTACAGGTCTAATCTGCAGTACATTTCAATACACAGCAGTTCCTTGGAGTCTCCTGCAGTTTGGAACAGTGTTGTTCAGGTTGGAAAGGTAACTACACTGACCCGCACACCAGAAATGTTACGAAATAGCAATTTGAAACCTTTTCTTTTTAACATAAAAGTAGGAAAACAAAGAAACAGAAATATCCGCCCCACCACCTCATGACCTTAATTTGAAAAACTTTTTGACTTGAGCTTCAACTTAACAATCAAACAAGGAAAGAAATGCTCAGTATTCAGAGATAGGATTTCTTACTTCTCCAAGACTGTTTGTAGAAAGATCAGCAACAGACTGGGCAGAGCTTGCTAGGCTGGAGAGCAAAGGCTGAGTCTTTGCTACAGCTTCCTTCTGGCTCTGCGAAAGGTCTTTCACCACCCAGACACAGAAAAGTACAGTGGGGTCCTGCAGTTCTGCACATTTCACCTCAAAGAGTATACCTGTAGGAACAGGTGAGGAAGTTAAAATGGTAGAATGCAACTTTAGTGTTTAGCAAGACCACAGACAAAATTCTGAGCTCTTAACAAAGAGCTATTTATTTGGGGAACACCTGCTCACCAAAGAACCATCAGAGGGGCTGACACCAGCATAGCTATTCTAGAGGTACCTATCAGCTACCTCCACAGCTCCCACCCCCAGCAGAAACTTTTGTCAGGGTCCAATTGTGATTATTCATTTTGCACTGTTATTCTAAATAAAAATGGAGATTTTACAGCTTTACAGTGGATTTTTTACAGTGTATTTTCTGTTCAGAAAACGTTATCAGGTTCAACCTTTTTAATTGTGTTTTAAGAATATCTCTGACTTTTCAGTAGGGATTAATTTCTTAATAACTTTGTATTTTATACCACCTCCTTTTCTAATATCCTCTGAATAGACTTAAATACTGATTTTTCTTCTAGATGCTTCTTCCTTCCTCTCCACTGTGAGCTTCTAACCAGAACTGTCTGCCTTCTGCAAAAATGTGGGTGAAAAACAGGACCCTGGTAAAAGTTTTGGGAAGGGGAGAAGATTTAACTTACTGAACTGTGACCCGTCTCTGTGACAGCAATTCCCAGTGTAGCTGCCTTCCAGAATCTCCCAGATCAAAGGAGCTGCTGGATTCAGCCTTCCTTCTTGTTTCACGGGGGTTGATGTTACTTTCCTCTCCATATTTTGCTGCCCCTGCAGCTGACCGAGTTCTTCAGGCCCCCCTTTGCCTTTCTGGGGGTTTCTGCCGGCGCTGTGCCCCACGGTTTCTGCAGGAGTTTGGGCTGCCTCAGGAAATGCTTTGGAGGATTCTTCAGAGTTTTGTAAATGCCCCTGGAAGGCCAGCCACCCAGAACCAGCTTCTGTGGCAACACCACTCAGCAGCTGCTTTCCTTGACCAGCGGAAAAAGTGCTGTTTGTCTCAGTTAGCATATTGGAGTCTACTGCATCAGACGAGCATGCTCCTACAAGAGCTGCAGTAACACCTAAAGAATTGTCTGAGTTCCCCTTGACACGAGTATTCAGACCCAGTACCTCAAGACCAGAGCAAATACAGTTCAGTTCAGTGTCTGATTCTTTAACATCTTCAGAGGTTGTGGCAGCTCCTGGTGCAGAAGCACTGTGACCCACTTTATTTGCTGAACAAACATCATAGACAGTATTTCTTTCATGTGCAAAGAAGGCTGGAGCATCATTTAGCAGGCAGTTTTCAACAACAACCTGCTCAAGGCTGGAATGCTCTGCATCACACCTTGAGTTTGTTTTTGATGCCTGACCTGTAACCACGTGGCTTTGAAAGTCTTGCCTGCAGTCCAGTGCTGTCCCTGGCCATGGCTCATTCATTGTTGGTGTTCCAGGTGAGTTACTGGTAACAACAGAAGGCAGCTTCACTGGGCCATAGGATGAGGTATTTAGAATGTCTTCTAGCCTAGAACTAACATGCAACCAGAGAGCATCTTTAGAGAATTATTTGATCCTGAAGCTTCCACTGTTCTACACTGTTCCACTGCTCTGATTGTGTCAAGGCAGGTTTTGGGATAAGGCTCTCTGGTGGGCTGACAGCCCATCAGTAAGCAAGGCTGTCCTCACTGCAAAGATTCAAAGCTGACAGCGACATCATGGTGCCAAAAGAATGAGAAAACTGTCCTGCTGTATCCTACCTACTCTTGTTACCATAGTCACTATTTAAAACCTGCACCAATTGTTTTAAATTGTTTGAAAGAAAAAGGTAGAAAGCTGTTGGCACAGGCATCCAAAATCCTAACAAATTTTCCAAATAAGAGCAGGTACACTCAAATGGCACTCTTTCCCTATGGATAATTTCCTTCTCTAGCTTAGCTTAATTTCTAAATATAGATCACAGATCATTTCCCATGACAAAAAAAAAAGCCAGTACACATGGCAGGATACTTCCAGTTCTGAGAACAGGAGATCCCTTTTCTGTCCAACAGGAGATGGATGTCCCTGTCCATCAGTTTAACCAGGGTTCACTGAAGTCCAAGGTATTGCACAAGGTGTTTTGCAAACATCTCCATTAGTAAAAAAGCAGCGTAGAAAAACAATAAAGCAGAGCATTTACAACCTAAGTATGATATGAGAGACATAAATCCAGGAGAGCACCAACAGTGGGACTGTCAGTCTCTTTAAAAAGCAGCAAGAACTGTGCTGGAATAGTCTATATCTTAAAATGGACAGTAAATACTGTCTGAGGGCTAGAATTTTTAATGCTTAAAATTTGACTTGCAGTAAACCATGAGCATCATATATGTACTTGTACAGAATTTCTAACCTTGTAACAGGAAAAAGACCTGGAAAGGTAGAATAAAAATGGCTGGACTTCAGTAACACAGTACCCTGTTTTAATGGATGACCTGACAGTTACACTGAGCACCAAAAAGAATAACATTTAGAATTCACTCCGGGTAATCTGGCTTCAGTGCAACACCAGCTTGAAGGAGATAAACATCCACTGTTTATGATGTAGTGAAGGCAGAGCCTAATTACCTTCCCTAGTCTGGGTGAAGCATTTGGTCCCCTTTAGAGCTGGAATTCCTGTAACTTTACAATGGTGGGTTGTGCAGATCCAAATAAAAATCTAAGGTAGGCAAAGCTCAGCCTGTCTTTTGCAAACAGCACTCAGATTCTAAAGACAGCAAAATGTGGAAGGCCCTTGTTGCACCTTCCCACAGACATCACACTGGTGAAAAAAACCAGGTTTTGCTGGTGATTGCCACCACAGCTCTTCATTTTCCCAAGTGAATATGCAGTTCATGAAAAGCCTACCTATTAGTGGGGGTGGATGCCACTTCAGGAGGTGAGGGAGGAGAAAAGAAACCGGTCCCGCTCTTTTGTTTATTCTCATCATGTATTAATTTGTCATCTTTGCGTCTTTGTTCCCATTTCTGCTCTTCATCTCGTGACAGAAGGTGTGCTAAAGATGCAGCCAAGGAGCTGCTGTCTGTACCAAAGAGGAAACAAAACCATACCAACTTAACCTTTTATATTTAGCCTTCAGAGGCTATAGTGATTAAAAATAAACTTGGAACTGCCTCAGTCTGTCTTGTCCCTAAGGAATTGAGTATAAAAGGCTTGACTGAGGCAAAACAGTCCAAATATGAGCATTCCACCCTACTTCATTTTTAAAAATCATCACATGCAGCAATCTACATGTTTTAGGGCTGACAACATTTGCTTTTCTATCAGAGCTCTTGGACAGGTATTGGTATCATGGGTTAGCTACTTGAATTGAAGTTCAGAGACCTAAAAAAAGGCCAATAACATATAGAGACTGGAATTAAAATGATCATACAAATAGCAGCAGCAAAAAAAAAAAAAAATTCCAAACCACACACATACACTGTCCATTCCAAACACATAAAACTACAAGGTTTGTACTGGATTTATATAATTCGCTGAAGCTGTAAGATAAAAAAAGTACACCATCTAAATATGTTTGAAAGAACAGGACACCAAGTTCTTTCGTTTTCCAGTGACAACAGATCAGAAGCGAAAACATGAGTTTGAAAGATGAAGTAAACCAAGTACTGTTGCTGCAGAAGAAAGTAATGAGCAACGAGATCTGAATCTAGAAGAATCCTTCCATTAGTAAAGGCTGAGTGCCAACAATGCTTCCTCACTGAAGAAGTGAATTATTCCTAGATTAGTGGCATCATTTCATCAAAGAATTACCTAAGAAACCGTCTAGGAACTCTTCTTTGTTCCAGTGGGGTGCATTGGTTTTGATGCAGATGTGCCTTTCTAAGCAAAGAGAAAAAGAAAAGGGGGAAAAAAAGAAAAGGAGGAAAAAACGAAAGGAGACAAAAACAGCAGAAGAGATCTCCTGCAATATGGATGAAAGTGTGCACTTGTTCTCTGTGTTGGGCTGAGCTAGCTGGAAAGGCAGATTTGGAAACATGAGGCTTCCTTGCTTCTGTTTATTCCTGTTGTGTTTAGAGAAGTAAAATTTTGATAAATTTTTCATAAATGCAGCAAACTGCATCAGAAGAATATGTGATGCTTCCCTAACTGAAACACCACAGCAACATAACATTGAATATTAGCCAGCAACACAAGTCAATTCAGAAGAATATTAGATTTTTCCCTTAAAATATTGATCCTAAGCATCTACAGCCCTGCTGCAGTATAGTCACAAAAGCTGTATTTTACACATCTTAAAATACTGAAGGATCCTAGCAGGGAAGGGAGGGGAAGTGCTTGTTAAATATAAAGCATTCTCTATTGACAGTGTAACTTCCAACTTGGATATTCAGATTCATCTTCCTGGCAACAAAGAGAGAAGCACAATCTTAGGTGAATAATTCTCTTTACCTGAAGTTATAGTGGAAACCCAATTTAAAAACTGCATGGAGGGATGTTGCTTTTATGAAGAATGTCCCCATGTTTGCAGGTGAACCTCCAGTCCCTGCTCTTTCTCCCTTCCTTACAGCAGCCAGAGCCAGCTGGAGGGCAGGCAGCAACACCTTCAAAGAGGCACTCACCCTCTGTCCCCGTGGAGTCATCCAGAGGAGGGAAAGGCAAAGAACACTCACTGCTTCTCTCCATGTTGTTATAGAAACCGGGAATCAGGAATGTAATGTTCTAAAACAAAGAATGAGACCTTACAAAACTAAGCCAGCGCTCACAGAACGGAGGTAAATGCCAACAATCCATGTTCATGAACCCGATTCTCAGGGATAGCCAGGCAAAAGTGATCCACAGGACTAAAGGAGAGCATAGGACTCTGCAGTTTGCTTTGGGCTACTTGAAATCCATACTCAGCTCCTCAGCACTGCAAGTCTTAGCAATTACAGCACAGGATTGGTGCTGTATCATCCTACACCTCACTTACTGAACATATGGAGCACAGAGGTTTTGTCACGGACAACAAGGAGTGTAAAAGACAACTTCACAATTCCAATGGATATGCTGCCAGATGTAGCAGTCTTCTGGGAGGGTCTAAGCCTCTTATCTTACCTTTCCCAACAGTTCTTTCTTCTCATAACCAAAGAGCATTAAAGCAAAACTATCGTTGATGCCACAGATGATTCCATCTGACTGGACAGTAATAAGACCACTGATGGTGGAAAAAACCACAACTGTAGCAGAGTACTGATAGCCTGGGAGAGAGCCTTCTGTCTGCAGAATCCCATCCTTCTGCACCCTTGCTTGGTCCTCCTCCAGAAGGCTGGCTTGCAGCTTTAAACTGAGAGGAAACACGTTACCCTCTCTGGATCGGCCTGCAGCTCGCTGGGTCCTGAGGTTCTAAATTAAAGCAAAAAAACCCAAACAAACAAAACTCAAACAGAAAACCTCTAACTAACCAAATGTTTTTGCTTTATTCCAGTATTCATATAAAATGACACAGGAATTCTCAGGAAAAAGGAGCAGGAAAAGAAAAACAAACCGAACCCGCGAATATCAAAATGAACAATATCTGGTTTTCTAAGGATTTGGAACCCAGTGTTGAACTCCTATATAAATATCTTGATGATGAGGACCAGCCCATACTGCAGCTTTTCAGCAAATTAAGCATTCATGAGAAGGCCTCTTTAAACTCCCTAGATGCCCAGTTTCATGGCATTTGCAACATCTGGGTATTCTCTCACTCCTCAGACAGACACGATTAAAACAGACTAAAGAATTCAAAGGAACCTTAGAGGGCTTACAGAGACAGCAGTGTCTTAAAAAGCCACAGTACTGGAGGAAAGTGTCTTTCACCAGGACAGATTCCACAGTGAGAGGTCAAGGCTTGGTCTCATTCCTAGTTAGGAACTCTTCAGACAGCAGCTCCACAAATAAGCAGCAAAGCCTTTTCCAGGGGAATTAGGGTTCTCTCTGAAAAAGCTCTTTTCTGTTACATGAGGAGGGAAAATGGCATGCACACATGTGTTCCAAGTGGGAAAGCTATGGAAGAAATAAGGTTGGTGCTTATACTGTACCTTTGGGATTTTTTTGCCCAGAGGAGGGATCTGCACAGAAGGAATCAGGTCCTTTATGTGAAGCCCAACTACTTCTTCCAATGTTGGGTAGCCATGGAGATGGGCAAAAAGGAGGTCACATGATGTAATCTCTCCCTTGGGAAGAAAATTTACAGGACTGTTAAAATTTTAGCATTTTAGCCACAGTCCACTCAATCCTTTGACAACGGTTTCTGCAAACATCTAAGCAATGGAAGGAAATTTCATTCTGCAGTCCCTTGGTGGACACAACTCACTCAATAAAAGCAGACACAGCATAATGCAATACTCTGACATCACTGTGCAGGGAGCCTGCCCTTTTCCTGGGGGAGAGGCAGAGGAGTCCAGCACTCCTCACAGAACTGTTCCTCAGCAAGCTGATCCCTTCACAAGAGCACCCACACCACAAATAACCAACCCCCGGCCAAACCAACACTGCTCAAGTGTAAGATGTCCCTGAGGAGAGAGAGACAGCATAACTTCGTGTGGGTTGCAAAACACATCAAGGAGAGCCACATGGGAGATCCATGCCCAGGTCCTGCGTGCACGATCCCGGTTTCAGGCACTGCTATGGGCACAGCCCATGTTCACAAACAGTCATCTGTGCCTGCTGCCTTTTAGACACGTTCAGCTCACACATAAACTTGTCATCACAACGTCATTTGATTGTTAGGACAACACTCACGTCAACCCTGAAGCAAACAGAAGCTGAAAGTCTTTCCACTGGTTCCAGCACAACCACACAGCGCTGGGTGTCCTTGCTTCTGATTTGCCTCTGCCAGACCGAGACAGGGATCTTCTCGTTGAGGCGGCCTCTAACATCCATCTGTCCCCAGGAATCAGAGATGGAGACACCACTTACTGAGACTGTGGTTACTTAGCAAGAATTTCAAAGAAGAGTAAGACACTGAGGCAAGATATCTCCCTGTCACTGTTAGAAAAACATTGTTTCTCGGCTACTTCCTATTATTTTATGAGAAGAAACACAGTTTTAATATAGAGATGAAATACACAAAATGTTACTTGTATAGCATCTCTCCCTGCCTGAGGAAGACTAAAGGCATTTCCTTCAGCATAATAAATGAGCCACTCTAACACCTTGCATTCAGTGCCTCTCAGAGATGCCTCTCAGGATGCCCAGTGGTGCAAATGAACACTCCACGTTAGTAACATAATTCTTACTTTGAGATGCAAAATCCAGTGGTTTAACTTCTTATGGGAGCGGATTCTTCTCAGATCAGAAAGTGTTTATTTATCTTATAGCCTGCAAGGTTTATATCAAGCCTTTTATGTGATTTTGACGGAATGGGTTTATGAATTAGACAGTGATTCCTATAAAGTACTTGGAATGGCTTGGAATTAGTGCCTTTACCAGATATTTGATTTTAATCTTGGGTTTCACTGAATCAAACTTATACTTTTTTCTCTCCCCCCGTATCCAACTGAGGATTCAGGAAGATACTGACAATTTCAGTACAAAAATAACACACCAGGAAGAATATGAGCTCATTTTCCAAGGATTTTCCACTGACAGCTCGCAACAGTAGCAAAAGAAAATAATTTTGAGACATTTCTCAAGCAGTTCTCTTATAAGCAACCCCATTCTAGGAAAAATATCCATTCTATTCTTTTGCACAAACTATGGTGTTTTGGCACAGATATTTCACTGGCTTGTAACTTTATAATACTCACAATGCAATTTAAGACAATTTATAATATATTTTTAAGGACCACACAACTGGGAACTTTTCCATAATAGACTTTTTCCATGTTAAGCAATTATATTGATTTAAGTTTTTTTAAAATCTAATGTGCTTTAAGTTCTGATTTGGTCAAGTCATGGTTTAAAAGTTTGCAGATGTGGGAATTCAGAGATGGTGGGGAATATTTCCTTGAACATTTCACGTACCACAGTTCCTGAAACCACCGATGACCATTCATAAGTTTCTAGGTACTCCTCACCCACAGCTTCCCACACCTCTTGACTGGGTTTGGATATCAAGTGGGACAGCTTTTGACCAATGAGTTCCTGACTACTGCACCCAAGCAGCTTGCAGGCTCGATCATTAGCCACTAAGATCTAGGAAAAAAAAACAACAGAAAAAAACCAAACCAACACAAAGAATAAAAGCTGTAAGTTTTGTTAATAGACCATCATCTCCTCAGGTTGCTGCTTTAATGTCTTGTAATATCCCTTCCTCTTAGTGAAAATGGAGTGGTTCTTTAGAATTCTGAGTTCATTAAAGCTTCTTATTCTAGGACATATCTTCTTGGTTAGGAGGTTTTGAGACACTGCTTTCCATTTAGGTTTCCTGCTTTCTTTTAACTGTAAATCATTACATCCATGGAAGTAAAACTACAAAGCTGTACTTGCAAGCAAAGCCTGGGCAAGCCACAAAATCCTGTCCAGCCACTAAAGTGTGCAGTGATTATACCAGCCACTGACACACTTGAGTCTGTGTTCACAGAGCAAGTCAAGATTAAATGCCTTTAAGAGGGGTAAACCCAAACTGCCAGTTCAAGCTAAAAAATGTCACAGATCTTTAAAGTTGTCAGGATTCAATTTTAGATTCCTTTCAGGACAGAAACAGAGAAATACTTCCCAACATAAAAGGCATATTTACTGGGGCAGATAAAGAGACCTTGTGCTACCACAAACACATCCCAGGGCTGGTACTTTACATAGAGGAGGCTTGAAGCACATTTTGCTTTTTCTTTCTTCCCTCATGCCATTTCACAGCTGCATTCTTATGGAATCATAGAATCACAGAATAATCAGGGCTGGAAGGGACCTTAAAGACCATCCAGTTCCACTCCCCTGCCATGGGTAGGGATACTTGAGAACAAGTTGCTCCAAGCCCCGTCCAACCTGGCCTCGAACACTTCTATGAATGGGGAGCCCACCTCCCTGGGCTGTTTGAAAAAAGACTCAAGACATCCACGCTTCTGCCATTGTATTGTATATTTTGCTAACTACAACCTGCAATGGAAATCAACTTGTTGTCAGTCTTTAGAAGACTGCTGAGCTGGAGCAGACTGCAAAATGCCTTCATAGCACTCTGATTACACGTAGGAATAACAGTCATTTTAGCCTGTCTGATGTCATACAACCTGCACCAGTTACAGAGAGCTTAGTGCAGCAGGCAGTCCTGCAAATACCTCTGTTGTGCCGGCGTCCACGGTGAAGATGGCTTTGTTTGGGTTGCGTGCAGCAGCTGGGAGGTGCTGGCTGGATTCCTCCACAGCAGGGGCATGCAAAAAGGAGCAAGAAGCAGAACTTCCAATGGAAGCAGAGAGAGAGGTGGAATCCCACTGAGCCCATGAGTTACCAGTTTTGCTGGAACAAATGTTACGAGCTGTCAGTGAAGACAAACAGTAAGAGCTCCATTTCTCCCCTAGGAAAAGAGAAAGATAAGCAGTGTAGCTGTAACCGTCCAGGAGTGTCAGAGGAATGAATTAAAAAAATAAAACAGACACACTTCTAATAAATGTATCTTTTGGAATCACAGCCACTGGAACGTGTAAAATCAGTCCACAGATTTAAAAAATTTGCCAAGATCCATAAGTTTCAACTAGACTACTTGACTTTCATTTTTCACTTAGCAGATTTTAAAATGTTTTGAAATCTTTCAAATGAAAAATGAAATGGTTATTAAATAATTGCAGTAAACGCTCAAGCCCTTATTAAACACTGCATTTGTCAGAAGCCAGTTATTTAGCTGTTCATACCGAAATACCTGTGCCCACACCAACGTTTCAAGCTACACAATGCCAAGTGATTGTACGAAAATTCTCAAAGGTTCTGCCTGTAAAGAACATTTCTCTAAGAGGGGGCATAAGCAGCCAAACACCATCACTCCAATCCCAAATCAGTAAGGAGCTTTGAAGGTTTAGCAGTACTGGAAGAAGCATTATGAACAACTCATCAGAAGGACATTTCTGATTTTATGCAGTGCACATAGTATGAACATACTCACCACAATAAAACAAGGAGACCTGTATCTGGACACACTGACAGAATCCAGCATAACAACGTCTTTCTCCTCATTTGGAAATCTCTTGTGGTTTAGATAATTATAGAAGATGGCAAGGTGGTCCAATGGCAGGCAATAAAAGTTGCCCAGGGACAAGTTACAAGTGCAGAGCACCTATCTAGTAACGCTTTCCCTGTAAACTCTCCCAGCCTGCAGTAATCCACAGCTCAGGTGCTTATTGAACAAGTCTATCCTGGCAGATACTTAATGCTGTCACCTCTAGGTTTGGGGAAGGGGAGGAGGAAGATCTGAAAGCTTCATGGAAACTCAGTCTCACAGTACAATGCTCACCAGACAGAGATGCTCTAAGCCGACAGAGTCCAGAGAGACGACTTTTCCTCCTCTTGTCGCCCCAGGGGTAGGATCTACTTAGCTTATCAGAATCATTCAAGCAAGTAAGGACTAAACCCGCTGATGAAGGCAGAAGGCCTCCTTCAGAGGCGCTAAAAGCCTTGGCTGCCATGATCACGCTCCGGTTGCCACGCCGCACCCAGGGAGCTGCAACAGAAACAGAGGGAACTGAACCAGCCTGGCGGGCTGGCACTGACGCTGCCGGGGAGCGGTGCCTTCGAGCCCAGGCACAGCCCCGTGAGTTACAGCAATGCACCCACTCCTTGCGTGTCCTGATCGGTGTTTGCTCTGTGCGGTGACTCGGCTGGCTTACGGTTCTGCCCTGGTGGTGCAGGACACCTGTGACCGACGTGGTTCTGCCAGATCTGCTGAGCACCCACCCAGCACCCTCTCCCCGTTCCGGGCGGTTTTAAAAGCAAAAGCTTTGGTACTCCGGGAAGTCACTTCCAGTTTTGAATCAGCAAGTGTGGCACAGCCTCCCTCCCCCACTCCCCCAGAGCGCTGCCCGGGCCCCCGCGGCCCCACCAGGACAAGACGGCAGGGCACGGCACGGCACGGCACGGCACGGCACGGCACGGCACGGCAGGGCACGGCAGGGCACGGCACGGTCCGGTCCGGTCCGACCCCCGCGCTCAGGCCGCCGCCGCGGCCGCAGGGCGCCAGGGGGTGGGACACAGCGGCCGCGTCAGCCAATAGGCAAAGGCGTTGTGAGAATGGCACGGAGGTGAGCCAATGGAACGCCAGCGCGGGAGAAGGCAAAAGAGATTTGTGTCTCCCGCCCTCCCTCCCCTTCCCCGCCGCCGCCGCCGCACGCGGGGCCCCGCGCCCCGGGCTGCCGGCCCGGAACAGCACGGCCGACCTGCTCCGGGGGCGGAAGGCTGCAGGTGGGCAGCGATCCTCCGAAGGATTTGTAGGCAGAAGCGCGCAACGCGTCTGGCCTGAGGCGCTGGTGGGGAGGAAGGAGGTCCGCGGACACCTCCCGCCCCGCCCGCAGGGAACTACAGCTCCCAGGAGGCTGCGGGGCGCAGCTAGCGCGCGTGCGCACGAGGGAGGGACAACAGCCGAGGCGCTGCCCTGCCCCCTGGGCGCTCCGCCTGCAGGTGATTGGCTGCGGCGCGGCTCCAGCGGCGGGCTCTGATTGGCTGGGCCGGCGGCGGGGGCGGTTTCCGGAAGCGGCGGCGGGAGGAGGAGCGATATGGCGGCGGAGAGCGGAGCGGGGCCGCAGGAGATGATGGAGGGTGAGAGCCCGCCGGGGCTGCCGCGGCTGCCGCGGGAGTCGGGGCGGCGCGGCTGGCTGCTCAGGCACCGCCGCCCGATGGGAGGGCTGCCAGCTGCGCGCCCGGGGACTTGTGGCCCCCCCCGCGCCCGGGCAGCCCCCGGGTGCCCACCCCCAGAGCTGCTGCCCGCGGGGCCGGGTCCTGGCGGGCCGCCGGGCACGGGGGGTCGGTCTGTGTTACCGGGGCATGGCGTGGTGCTGCCCCCGGCCCCCGCCCGTGGGGTTCCGGGCGCCATAGGGGGAAGGAGAAGGGTTGCGGAGATGACCGTGGCGTAAAAAATAAAGATAATAAGAAAGAAACCTTTTGACTGTCGCTGGTTTTCCTTAGTCCCCCGGTGAAAGGAGAGCAGATATTGAGGGGGGGCCGAGGAGGAGCGAGGAGCTTCAAGTCCCAGGCCCAGTGTGGCCACCGGAGCTGTGACTCTGTAAATATGAAGGGATCTGTCAGGTTGTTGTGGGGAGACTGTTGCCTTTACCTGCAGGGATTTTTTTTTATTGATGCCTTCACTTCTTCGTGTCATTGGTACTATTGTACATGATACTGATTTTTTTTTCTAAAAGCTTTTAAAATGTAATAGTTCTAATTCCATCTCCGTAGTCTTTGGAATTGCACTTCATTGATCTAAGAAATTTCCTTTTTCCTCCAGTCTTCTTCCCAGATTGTTGGTTTTAGGAAGATGTGATGGGAGGAAAAAGTGCATCCAAAATCAAAGTAGAAACAAGGGGTAAGAGGCCTTTTATTTAAGACTAAACCTTTCATTTAGTTAACTTAGGATTTCTACTAACTGCATAGTGGTATCTGTGACCCCTGGTTATTATTTCTGCTTGCTGCTCCTCCCCTGTGCCCCACTGCTGGAAGTAGCCTAATCCTGCCGCTCTGTGTCTCGTGCAGTTGACAAGCGGATCGAGTCGGAGGAGTCTGGGGACGAGGAGGGGAGGAAGCAGGCGGTTCGCCTGGTGACGGACCTGAGCCAGCAGAGCCTGAGGGATGAGCAGAACGGCGAGAACTCTGCAGGTACCGTGTCAGCCCCAGCGTCCCCTGGGTGCAGCAGAGCCTGCACCAGCCCCCTGCGCTCCCCCTGGCTGTGGCAGTGCTGGTTATCGGCGCCGATCTGCCCCGGAGCAGTCTTTAAATTTGAATAAATGGTGGTGTTATCGTAGCTGGAATAAAGCTGCCTGCTTCTTATGGAAGCACCCTCGATTTTTTGGGTTTTTTTTGGTTGTTTTTTTTTTTTTTTAATTTTCATATTTGTTTATCCATCCGCGTTTCGCTTCGAAATGTTTAATATCAAAACGCAAAACAGTTTTATTCATACTTTTTTGGGGGGTGGAAGTGCAGAAAATGAATGTGGAAAGGTGCTGGAAATGTTCACTGGAAATAACCCCAAGCAGCTTTTCATAATTCTGCTTTAGTTTATGTAGTCTTTTACCTAAAGAGTTGCCAGATTCCTTTGGAAGGCAATGAAGGCTATTTTTAGGTGGATTGAAGGGAACTGTCAGTATTATTTTTTTTTTAATTTAAATTTAATTTAAAAATTCTAAGACATACCAAAATTATATCTTTGAATCTTCTCAGATTCAAACTTTTGCTACTGTTCCTAATGTTTGTATTAGAAGACAGGGTAGAAATCTTGACAGACTTTTTTTAAGCCTGTGCATGTTTGGTGGGTGGGTTTTCAGTGGCTTGCATGGAATTTGTCAGAGCAGATCCATTTCTGCAGCCCCTGTGTGGTGATATGATCGGGGCTTTTGGTGCTAGCTGACAGTCTGAAGTGTAACAGCATCCTTTTGATAGAGATGTCCATGTAATTATTGTTGGTGTGGTACTAGAAGGGAAATAATGCAACAAATTTTAATTCTTTTTGACTGTACATCTACTGCAGATCCCTTCTCCTCTTAACCTTGCCCATTGGGATTTGCCAGAGTATTTTTCAAACTAGTAAACTGTTATTTAAATCTCGTATCCTAACCAAATGCACTCTACATAGGTCTGATTCATTGCTGATAGTTTAAAAACCCTGCATATTAATTAGAAAATGCTGTGGTGACGCCTGGGAAAGAGGACCCTTTGCAAACTGTACATCCCAAGCACTGTATGATTGATACAAAAATACAGATAAGACAGAGCTTGCATGCCTGGAACTATGAGTGTTTACTCAGCTTGGTATGACTTAGCTGTGTGTTTAGGGTTATACTGTGCACATTGTTCCCCTGGAAATTCTACTAAAGCAAACGCAGAAGTGACGTACTTTTATTCCAGTGAAAGCAAGAAAAACACCTCCAGATTTAGTTGCTGAATTACATTTGTGTACTATTTAATGTAACGACTGTATTGTTACTTTTTCCAAACTGTTAACATTTAAAAAAAACTTCTGCTAGGGCAGAAACCAAACAAAGGAATAATTTTTGAACATTTGAGGTAGCTTTCACAGCCAGCTTTGAGTTTCTCAGCTGCAAGGAAAATTAAAGAGTCTTCCACATTTTTTTCACAGAAGATCATAAGTAGAAAAAGCTTGAGCAGCTGAAATTTCAAATTCATCATTTGACTAATTCTCTGAGGAATAGAGCCTCTGGTTAGAAAGCTTATAACTGAGCTATTTATAATATTCTTCGTGCATATGCAGTTAAAAAGTGTAGTTGGGCTTTTTGTTGCTTTAAACGCCTGTGAACTTATGTAACTTGGTAATGACTGTTCCTACTGTGGAATTTGGGGTTCCTGAGGGGTGGATTTTTTTTTCCCTAGCTCTGCAAAGCCACGTATCTTGCAGGCATAGGTTACACAAAAATTCACTTAGGGAACTTCACTGCCAGAGCAATGGGGGTTTTTTCCCCTCTTGAGAAACGTGCTGTGTTGGGAAGTGTGGAATAAAGCAGTTTGCAAGGGAAATTGCAGTCCTGGCTGCTGTGTCAGTTTAGAGTGTTTTATATCCAGTCAGTTCATAAATAAAGTGACACGTAAATGGCTGTAAATTTGCTATAATTCTCCTCTTCCTCTCCTCTTCCTCTTCCTGTACTTTTAACATTTTCATACCAATACTGACAGCTGATATCAGACACACATCTCACTCAGGCTGGCATATGGAGTGCTTTATACACAGCACACAAACTTCATGAGGGTTGGCTCCATTACATAACCGCAGGGCCTGCGTGTTCAGTTTTAAATTGTTTTTATTTTAGTGAGTTTGATATGTATCCTGTGTGATTTGGTTTTGCATGCTTGGATTTGAGTGCTGTTTTCCCACGCTGGCTCTGCCACGACTGGTCTCTCAAAGCCACGTGGCAAAAAATAGGAGGAGCTGCCCTTTGACAGATCCCAGAACAGAGTATTTAACACATTGCCTAAATCAAATGTGTATAAATGAAAATATTCAAGCCTGCCAGCCAAACAAAGTCTTAAGAGGTGCAGCCTTGGTAGCAGGAGGGTAGGGTGTCCCATTCCCTTGCTGAAGTGTATAGCTTTGATCTGGAATGAAAATAAGAAAATGCAAGCGTTGCCCACGGCTAAGTTGCTGACAGGCAGACATACCTGCATCAGTTCTGGTGGCATTTCTGTCCTGTGTTCAATGTCCCCAAGACTCCCAGCTCATTTTGGATCCCCAGAATAAAATCTATGTTTCCTGCTAATTTAGACTGTAAAAAAAAATAAATAAAAAAATTAAAAGATGAGGATTGATTTTCAGTCTTAACTTCTGTCAGTCAGTTCTGTGAGTCTCTCTCCTGTTTGAATGCCCAGGCAAGAGCAGCAGCCCAAACACAGGAAGGTCAATGATGATCTGTGGACTGTCAAACCCTTGTAGTTTGATGACAGTATTAAAAATTGTGATGCTTGCACTGTTTGTCCTTACACTGCTACTTAGAAGACCAAGCACCAGTAGGAGAAATGCTTGTTAAATATACAGGAACACTAGGCATTTACAAGGATGTTGTAACCATGCTGGGCTGTGAAAATAGTCACTACTACTGGGTTAATGGCATGAGCTTGCATACAGTAATGCAAGAGTCAGTACAAAGCCTTTGGCATGTGACTGTAATTAAAGGTGCTTGTTTTTTTGGGAGTAGTTACTAAAAAAGCTTCCATCCTGTATGTCAGTTTTGCAAAGCTGAATCAGGCCCTGGGGTTTTTTTGGAGATTGATGCAACTGGCACACCTTCTTCAATAAATGGGAATCTGCATGAATTATTCAGCATGAAATTC